GCATTACAAGGGAGAGAGAACACAAGTTGAGGTGGGATGCAGGCGCAGAACAAGAAGGAATGCATGGGAACTGGATGGAAAATTTAAGGTGATACTTCACACTATGAAACAATGGGCATGAGCGCACCAGCAAATTACGTACCTTTGGCATAAAGCACACCAAAGAGCGCAGGGATCACACACCTGAGCGCACGAGCAGCGTGTGGCAGTCTCACCTGAGAGCACGAGCAGCGTGCAACAGTCTCACCTGAGAGCACCAGCAGCGTGCGGCAGTCGCCGTTCTGCCCAAAGAGAATGTCCGTGTCCAGGCGGTCGCCCACCATGCAGATCTGGTTCTTGGCTATGCCGAACCTGGAGGGTGACAGGGGTGAGACAGATGAAGAATGTGAGTGGCAGGTGTGACGAAAAAAACAGACAACTCAATTGGCGTGGAGGTAGGCGTCCCAACCACCATGCAGAACTGGTTCTTGGCAATGCCGAACCTGGGGGGTGACAGGGTTTACCAGAGGGTGCGTGTGATGTGAGGTAGTGAGGTAGGTCACCATGAAGATGGAGGGCTTATCACATACATCAACGCCCCCCATCCCCCCATTCCCCCGCCCCACACTCTCTGCCTCTCACACCCTCGCATCTCACTTGGCAGCAAGATAGTCCATCATGAAGGGGACGGCTTGCCCACCATTGAGTACACAAAGCCCCCATTTTTCCACATTGCCCTTTCTCTCCCCCCCCCCCACCTCCCCCCTCCCCCTGCTGTCTCGCTGTGACTGCACCCCCTCGCATCTCACTTGGCAGCAAGGTAGTCCATCATGAAAGTAGAGGGCTTGCCCACCACGACAGGCTCCTTCTTGGTCGACCCCTTGATGGCGCCCACCATCGTGCCGCCCCCTGCCCACTCCTGTACGTCTGTCAGGTGCGTCACGGCGTCGCAGTTGGTGGCAATGAACAGACACCCGGGGTTCTCCCGCAGACACAGCGTGGCGTACCTGGGAGGGTGAGGGATGGGCGCAACAAAAGAGAAAGGGAGAACCGGCGAGGTCAGGGATATCTCACTGGAAAGCAAGGCGAGGGTGTGTGCATTGTGGCTGCGTGGGGGAGGCGGTTTGGTTGTGACGTTGCAGCTTGGAGTGAGGATGTGTTGGGGGTTCCAAGGACACGGGAGCAAGGAGGAAGGGAAGGAGGCGGGGGGGAGGGGGGTGAGGAGGGGCAGGGTGGTGGAAAATCACAAGTAGCAGATGGTGCATACCACGAAGTGGGAAGGCGAAGGAGTTGCCGGGAAGGGGGAAAAGGCGAGTGGAGGCAAGGGGAGGGAGGGAAGAGGTGGATGAGCGGATGCCACGGCGGAGACTCCTCCCTGCAGCTTGTTGCGGTTGACGTAGCAGTCAAGCCCACCACCCCATGTAGCCTCACTAATCCCGCCACCCCATGTATCCCCCAGCCACCCCTCCAGTTGGGAGTGCGGGATACTCACTGCAGCTTGTAGTAGTTGACGTAGCGGTCAAAGCCCACCACCACCGCTCCGACCTGGAGGGGTTACAGGGGAAGGCATGGGGTGGTTGGGGTTAGAGCGGGATGCATGGGGTGGTAGGGGTGAGAGGGGGATGCATGGGGTGGTAGGGGCGAGAGGGGGATGCATGGGGTGGTACAGGTTAGAGGGGGTGCATGTGTTAGCGGTGCACGTGGGAAGCATGGGGTGGCGGTATACGTTGTGCTTGGGACACCATCCACATATTCACATTACCACCATCATGCAACATGCACATACTCACATCACTCTATCATGCACCATCCACATATTCACATTACCACTATCATGCACCATTCACATATTCACATCGCATCATCATCATGCCATCAGATACTCACGTCCGCATCGTGCTCCATATATTTTCCCAGGCCCAAGTCAATGGACTTCTTCCCATCCTCCTGCAATTCACCAGCCAGCAGCATACCGCGCCACAGATGCAAACAGGCAAGCACAGTCAGGAAACAGAGAAACGAGGAGAAACGAAAGAGCAAAAGGCCAACATACTGACCAGTTCTGGACCTTCTGTGCAGCTAACAAGGTAAATGCTGGTGCATGTAACACTCATTGACCTCGAATGTACTTAATGCGGGTGCGTGTGAGACTCACCGGCCCCCCAATGTGGTTGACGCCAGCGAGGTCGAGTTCGAGCTGGATGCCCTGCTCGCCCACCACGTACACCTTCTTGTCCGCCGGGAAGTTGACGGACGTTAAATACGCCGCCGCCGCGAACGACGACGCGAAAATCTCCTCCTGAGATAAGGGACGAGGTGGTGGGGGGGAGGTGAGGGTAGGGGAGGTGAGAAGAGGGGAGGGGACGGGCACGGGTTTGGCAGCAGCAAAGGGTAGGGCGCTTCCTCGGTTTCATCACTGGCCCCTCTCCCCAGCTATACGCTCGAGTGCCTCCACCCACCCGCTACTCTCGCCTGCAACACATTCCCTTGCAATCGAGCGTGCATGCTTCCCAGAGAGCCCATTCCCTCGGTTATGGTAAAGAGCCCACCTCGGTGACCGTGAGTCCCAGCGACTCGAACTTCTTGCCGTACTGCTTGCGCGACTTGGTCGAGTTGTTCGTCACGAACACCAGCCGCTTGCCCTGCGACACACGAAGAAGGTTACTGGATTGAACAAACTTCACAATATTGCTTCGCCTAAGTCTTCGTGATAAGTGGTTCACCTATGCGGGCTAGTGCGATTGTCTTAACGAAAACGGGAAACTCGCAGGGTAATTCGCCAAGTTACCATTGCTCGCAGCATGTCTAGAGTCTCCGGCACACCGTCGATGAGCTTATCGCCCTTCCATATGACACCTGGCGAGACAATGTCAGAGGCATGCCCATGCAATGTGACAGACACGGTGAGCACAACGGTGACTGACATGACACATGTACATTGAGTTGCGAAAGGAACAGGTTCAATCAGCAAAGAGACACGCAGACTGTGTTCGTCCGTGCATCCACCCGTGCAAATTGAGTTGTGAAAGCGACTCATGATCGCATCCGCATCCGTCCCGTCCCAGTCGAAGAGAAAGGTCTCCACGCTGTCGATCAGCAACGAGACAAACAAATTGCGATCGTCCGTGCATCCACCCGTGCATCTTCTATCGCGAAAGCCGACCCGTGATCGCATCCGTACCGTCGCAGTCGAAGAGGAACGTCTCCACGCTGTCGATCAGCGCCCGCGCGTCCGTCAATAGCGGCGCCTTACCCGCTGCTGCTGGAGAGAAACGGAAATGAGGGATGGAATGTACATGACAATCGCGATAACCGTCGACAAGGTAGTACCAGGTCGGACAAATCCGTTTAAGAAATTGCTGAAATTGAGGTATGTAATGTTCACGATAGACTTACTCGTGTGTGAAATGCTAGGAGTAACATCGGTGAATTCCAATAGGTCTCCTGTTTTCACTTGATCTGTCAGGTTTGACCTAGGTGCTACGAAATGATTATGTTTGTCAATGTTGCCGTTGTTAATCCCTGATACAGCCGTACGTGCAGTACGGTCATTGATGCAGCTATTCCTGTTGACCTCACAGGGAGACAAAGCCGGTAATCTCACCATTGGCTGAGCTTCCGCTCTCTGCCTCCATGACGGACGACCCGCTCGATGCTCGCACAGACACAGCGCTTCGCGACGACCACCGTGCGACGGGTTGCTGTGCGTGCGGCAAAGCTAGTCGCACGCCGCTGATCGCCTGACCCTGTTGCGACAACTGCTGCGATGACGGCGACGCAGGCTGCAAAATCGCACGGGAGGAGGAGAGAAGCCGCTGTGCACAGCAGAGCCGCAGGGAGTGCGCCATAAGACGAGCACAGCAAGCAGCAGCGAAACAAAGGCTCTCGTAAATTCCACTGAAGCAAGCGACACTACTCTAAACCAAACTCCAAATTGATCAGACGATTGAGTCGATTTTCCAACAGCTTGCAGAATGAAATGGCATGAACGGACTGGAATGCCTGACCAGGGTCTGGCAGGTTAGGCCAGAACCTCCACCCAAGTCAATCCAAACCGAGCCTGTTTTCTGGGCAATACCAAGGTCGGATCAGTCATGATGCCGTGGTGTGTGGGTCTAGTAGGCTCGGAAATCACCGTGGCGCATTCTTTTGGTCCGGAACGGTTGGTGCTTGTGGCCTTGAGAATGCGTCCCTCACGACGCTGACCCTTTGCTTCCAATTGTCACCTGAACCACGAAATGAAATCTGAGGTGGCTACTTATGACTCGCCGGTTGCAGTGACTTTTCTGGCGAGGTTCATTATCTGACGTCAATCGGCCATTACAAAACGGATAGTAAAATTCTAGTATCATGTGAATGTGTCGAGATTGCCCGTCTTTTGCATTCAAAACTTTTTAAACCCTCTCAAACCACGCGAGAAGCTGATCCTGAAAAAGGGTCGATCGCAGGAGGGACGCGTCCCCTCGACGCCGAACCTGCAATCGACCATGCAAATCGAACCTCCACCGCACTAAAATTCCGCCTTTTGCATTCAAAACATTTTAAACCACGCGCAAGATCGATCCTGCGGAGGGTCGATCACAGGATCGATCGCAGGATTGATCCTGACATCTGATTCCCGCCAACTGCTTCTGCCTCCGTTCGTCTGACATTTCTGCTGGCATCCAACGAGTCTCAAATTCGCCCCATGCATAACCTCTGACATCTACCGCTACCACAAATTCCCGAATTCCAGCACTCCCAACTTCTGTTCGACGTCATTTGCTCGTTGACCATCCCCCGCCGTATATTCTAACTTCTGTTTCCGTCATAAATCGTCTGTACCCCTCGTCGTCGGTTGATGAATAGCTCCTCACAGTCTAGCCCTCAGTTCGTTTCCCAGACTACCACTTCGTTATATCCTACTTTCTTTGTCCAGGATAGCGTAATCCCTTTCGAATCAGTCCATTTCGGTGATGTCGCTCCCCAGCGACACTCGTGGCACCGCGACTGCTGCTAACGGCGGTTCCGATGGGAGCGAGATGGCCGTCGGATTCGTTGGCTTGGGTGCGATGGGTGGTGGCATGGCGGCCGCTCTGGTGAAGCGAGGCTTTGCTGTGAAGGGATTCGATGTGAGTGGCTTGAAAGGCTATGATGCGATGGGCCTCAAGGGATTTGATGTGAGTCGCTTGAAGGGATACGATGCGATTGGCCTGTAGGATTTGACGTGAGTGAACCGATTGAGTGCCTTCTTGGCGTCACGTGGGTGGGAGTCAGCGTCTTGATACACGTATGGTGGGTTCTTGGTGTAAATTTAAAGCTCGTATCCACTTTCAGTTCCATCCTTCGCCTCCGCCTTCACGTTCCAATCTGTCCCGCGTTCCCTCCTCTTCCGCCACCTCCTCGTCTCACCCATCTCCATCATTCCCGCGTCTCCTCCTTCCCCATCCTCCTCCTCCCCGCGTCTCCGCTTCCTCGCGTCTCCTCTTCCCCGCGTCTCCTCTCTGTGCTCTGCTCGTCCCACGACTATACTTCCTGGGAGGCCTTGTAGTGCCCTGTTTTCACGGGGATGTAGCTCAGATGGTAGAGCGCTCGCTTAGCATGCGAGAGGTACGGGGATCGATACCCCGCATCTCCAGGTTTGCGGGGATAGCTCAGTTGGGAGAGCGTCAGACTGAAGATCTGAAGGTTGCGTGCTCGATCCACGCTCACCGCACTTTTCTTCACCCGGTTGCTTCATCGGCATGTCGTGTAGAGCCTCTGCACCCCCTCCTTTCCCCCTGACTGAGCTTTGGAACCGCCCCACTCTTTGCCTTACTCAACTCCCCGTCCCCCCTCGCTCCTCTGCTTTCCTTGTTCTTGTTTGGCCCACGCTCTCACCACAGGTGTACCCCCCGGCATGCGAGAAGCTCAAATCTGCAGGTGGTGCTGCTGCCGCCTCCGCAGCCGATGCTGCTAAGGGTAACACACCGCCTCTTTGCTGCTCTTCACGCGTAGCATGTCATCCCGTCACGCGCTGGTTTCTCGGCCTCCTCTTTCTAAATTCTCTTCACCTCATTGCTTACAGTCCGTTTCATTTTTCATTTGGGCCTTCCCCACTCATACCTCTCCTCCCGCATCCTTCTCCTCCATGCCTCCCCTCATGCCCCTCTCTGTGTGTCTCTCAGGAGCCGTGGTGCTGGTGCTGATGGTGACCACGGCCAAGCAGGCCGAGGGGGCTCTGTTCGGCAATGAGGGAGCACTGCAGGGTGAGTGTTCGGGATGAATGAGAGTTGAGAGTGATAGAGAGTGGCTGAGAATGGTGGAGGGCGGCAGAGAATGGGAAAGTGTTAGGGACAAAAAGGGAAAAAAGGGCAGAGGGTCAGAGAAAGTGGCTGCACTCAGCAGTTTAGCAGGTGCGTATGTGTAAAGCTCGTTCTTTTCTCTCTCTCTCGCCTCATTTTTGTGCCACATCTCCTTACCTTCACCCGCTCCCATGCCCTCTTCTCATACCACCTGCAGCTCTCCCTCCCGGTGCCGTCGTCATTCTCTGCTCCACTGTTCCGCCTGAATTTGCACGCAGCCTTGGCACCAAGCTCTCAGGTATGATGCACTAATTTCCAAAGCACTCCCCCCTTTTCCTCTTTTAAGTGAATTCTCGGATGGACTTTTTGATCATCAGGGCCTGGTACCATCTCCTCTCTGTTTCAGCGCCGCTCTGTACCCGCTACCGCTCATCTTGCCTTCAGCTCTCTTGTCGATTTTGCTCTCCTCTGCTCTGCTCTTCCCCGAACCCTTTCTGTCGCCGGCTGTTAGTTTGTTTTCCAAATCCCAAGAGCATCTCTTTGTTTCTTCTAAGAATTCGCAACCCCCCTCCATTCTGTCCCTTGCCGATTGTCCGTGCGAGCAGCACAGGGCAAGGGGTGGGAGATGGTGGATGCGCCGGTGTCAGGAGGGGTGGCACGTGCTGCAGACGGCACCCTCACTGTGAGCTTCGTTTCGAGATGCTTATTTTTTCGCCTTTTGAGGCACCTAGAGAATGCACCGGTGCCTGGAGGGCTGGTGACAGATAGGGCCCTCACTGTGAGGTTCGTTTCCGAGTGGCACTGTCTGCTGTGCATTATTAGCTCGTACCTGAGGCGAGTGCTATCATGGAACATGCCCGCCTTTCTTGCCCGCTCTATCCCCTCATCACTGTTTCTGCTCCTCACCCTCTTATCCCCTCATCACTGTTTCTGCTCCTCACCCTCTTATCCCCTCATCACTGTTTCTGCTCCTCACCCTCTTATCCCCTCATCACTGTTTCTGCTCCTCACCCTCTTATCCCCTCATCACTGTTTCTGCTCCTCACCCTCTTATCCCCGCGTTGCCTGCTGCAGATTATGGCCGCAGCGACACCTGCTGCTCTCGCCAAGGCACGCCCAGTGCTGGAAGGTACGCTTTTGGGGCTGTGGGCGCCGCCTCGCTCTCAGCTGCCTCTTCATGTCGCGTTGCTCTGCCTCATTCCCTCCTTTCCCCAGATCCTGCTCTAACAGCCTGCTCTAACATCCTGCTCTAACATCCTGCTCTAACATCACCCCATTATCCCCTCTCCTCCCTCTCCCCGCTCTCCCCCTTCCCCGGTGCAGCCATGAGTGCAAAGCTGTACATCGTGGGAGACACACCGGGCGCAGGCAGGTGCGTGGGTTGGGCCAGGGGGGCAGGGAGGTAGGGGTCAGGGGGCCAGGGAGGTCAAGGGGGCAGGAGAGTGAGCTGGTGGCGGGGTGCAGACAGCAGTTGCAGCTGCAGCAGGTCAATTGTGCTCGGACTCACCTGTGTGCCTTCTCTCTTTCTCTCGCTCTTCTCCCTCTTCTCCCTCGTTGGCCTCTCCTTCTCCCTTGCCGTCCTCTACTGCTCCCCCTCTTCTCCCTCCAGCGCTGCGATAATGGTGAATCGGTTATTGGCAGCCATGCACATAGCAGCAGCTTGTTTGTTGCTCGCAGGCTTACATGTAGCACCTCTCTCCCTCTCCCCGCTCTCACTCTGCGACCATTCCCCCCCCCAGCGCGGTGAAGATGGTGAATCAGCTGCTGGCAGGGGTGCACATAGCGGCAGCAGCGGAGGCGATGGCACTGGGGGCGAGGGCAGGGCTGAACGCGCGCATGGTGTTTGATATCATCTCACACGCCGCTGGCAACTCATGGTGGGTTGAGGCGTGCTTGAGAGGGTGTCTTGCTAGTGGGGATGCGTGTAGCGATGGCACTGGGGGCGAGAGCAGGGCTGAACGCGCGCATGGTGTTTGATATCATCTCCCATGCTGCTGGCAACTCATGGTGGGTTGTAACTTGTAATGAGGTGACTTGTGAGTTGACTCAACAGGGCAGGGCTGAACGCGCGTATGGTGTTTGACATCATCTCACACGCCGCTGGCAACTCATGGTGGATTGGGGCGTGCTTGAGAAGTGCCTTGCTGGCAACTCCCGGTGGGTTGTGACGAGATGACGTGTGAGTCAACTCAATAGGGCAGGGCTGATTGCGCGCATGGTGTTTGACATCATCTCGCATGCTGCAGGCAATTCATGGTGATGCTTAGAACCACCTTGCTGCTGGATTGAGGTGTGCTTGGTGCTGCGTTGGGAAGCGCTTTGATTTTTGAGCGCCTCAGACGTTGCTCAAGAGAATGCTTTGCGGTGTGATTTGCGGCATAACATGGTGCTTATTCCTGATGCCGATCACCATCACCATCCCCATCCCCACGCCCATGCCCGTTACACATCGCAGGATGTTTGAGAACCGAGTGCCGCACATGCTGGACAACGACTACACGCCTCGCTCCGCCCTCAACATCTTTGTCAAGGACCTGGTACGCTCTACTAAGGCTGTGCAGCGTCTGTAGTACTCAGACACGGTACTACGGCAGTGTCGCTATGGCTGTCGTGCGCATGCGCGACTCTCTGCGTGACTCTCTGTCTTTGTCAGGAGCCCTGTGCTGATGCAGTGTTGACAGCTTCAGTCGGACATGATGTTATAGTATGCCTCAATCCCCCCAGTTTGTGCTGGTCTGTCTCACTCTGCCCCTTCTCCTCCTCAGTGTTTACTCAATTCTCATTGTCCCCTTGCCGCTCTCCCTCCTTCCCCCGCCCCACCCATCAGGGCATTGTGTTGGGTGAGGCACAGTCGCTCGCGTTCCCTCTGCCCCTGGCAGCAGCAGCACACCAGCAGTTCCTGGCGGGTGCAGCAGCAGGGCTGGGCAGGGAGGACGATGCTGCCGTGGTCAAGGTGACACCAGGGGGTTCACGGTTAAGGATTCAGGAGGGCTGATTTCAAGGGTCCCGGGCTAAATTTCCTACTGCATTCTAGCCTGTGCTGCATGCATCCTCACTGTGGTTGTCTCTCTTCCTCTCCTAACCTTGTATCCCCCTATTTGCTGCCCGTCTCCCTCTATCCTTTCCCCTTACTCCCCACACCCCAACTCTCCCCCTCCCATCCCCACCCGCCTCTTCTCATGTCATCCTCCCTCTAGGTCTATGAGCGCCTGGCAGGAGTAACAGTCGCCTCCGCCCTCCCCTCCACCTCATCTCCCCCTTCCACCTCCTCCTCTGCTCCGTTCCCGGAGCCCACCGTCCAATCAAAAGCCGCCATGCTGGCAGCGCTGCCGCCCGAGTGGACGGGCAGCTTGGAAGTGACAAGGGGGGGCGCAGAGGGCAAGGAGGGAGGACAGGGAGAGGCGGTTCTGCCAGTGGTGGTGGTGTTGGATGATGACCCCACTGGCACTCAAACGGTGCATGGGCTGCATGTGCTCACCACGTGGTATGTGTGTGTGGTAGCCGTGGTATGTGTTTGGTAACCACGTGGTAGGGCGTGTGGTTGCCACGTGGTATGGTGGATGGATGGTAACTGCGTAGTGTGGCATGCGATTTTCACACATGGTATGCTGCTGCTGGTATCTTCCCCGCTCCCCTTTCACATTCCAAGTTTCCACTCTCCTGTTTTCCTCCGCATTCCCCTACCCTGTCTGCCATGTGAGTCACATCAAACACCGCGTGTGCCTCCTCCCTCACACTTTCCTTCTCCATTCTCTGGTCTCTCTACTCTTGTCTATCGTCACCCGTCCCTCCTCTCTCTCCCCAGGGACGTGGAAACACTCAAGGCGGAAATGGCAGCACTGGCGCACACCCCCAATGCCGCCTTCTTCATTCTCACCAACTCCCGCGCACTGCCCACGCAGCAGGTGGGTGGGGTATGGTATGGCATGGTGTAGCATGGTGCAGCTTCGGCGGTCACAGCGGGTGGGGGGGGCATGGCGTGGTATGATGGCAGCACTGGCGCACACCCCCAATGCCGCCTTCTTCATTCTCACCAATACCCGCGTGCAGCCCACGCAGCAGGTGGGTGGGGCATGACGTGGCATGGCGTGGCAAGACATGGGGTGGCATGGCCTTGTGCCTCATCCGCAATACCACCACCCCCTTCATGATGCCGCTGCTTCCCTGCCCTTTCAAACTGCCTCTTCGCCTCTCTCGACCATTTTCCCCTTGGCCTCTTCCCCTTCCCCACTCTACCCCCGTCTCTCACCATGGCAGGCAGCAGCTCTCACGCGCACCATCTGCAGCAATGTCGTGACAGCAGCCCAGCAAGCAGGGATCCTCAGGTAAGCAGGGGTGGAGATGGGCGAGAATGGGTTGTGGGGAGAACAGTGGCGGTGGTGATTGGTTATGTGAATGGCTGTGGTGGTGAGAGCAGAGGCAGTGGCTTGGCTTGGCTGGGCCAGTATACCCACAGAAGCACAGAAGTCTGGCAGGAAGCAAGCCGTCCTCTCTGTCACTCTGTGCACATGGTGTGCCTCGTGTGTGTGCAGCAGCAGCAGTGGTGGCAAGGATCCGGGTTGCAGGGGCATCACACTCATTCTCCGAGGGGACTCCACCCTGCGAGGTCACTTCCCCCAGGTATTGCGTTGTTTCGTTTAAATCGCTTTCTCCACCCTGCGATGCCACTTCCCGCAGGTACCCCATATCCTCTGCTTGCTGCCGTTGCATCTTCTTCCACCTTCCCCTGCGATTATCCTCGCTCATGCCTACATGGCCCTCGCTCCTTCTGTTTCAATTTGGCCCATCGGCCGACAGGTGGGGAGTAGGAGGGGCTTTCACAGTCTCTCCTTCTCCAAAGCCCCCCTCTCTCTCATCGATGCCCCACTCTCTCCCTACCCAGGAGGTTGAAGCAGCGGAGGCAGCACTGGGCGCAGCAGTGGACGCATGGGTGGTGTGTCCTTTATGCCTAATGTTTGTCTTGTCGTTTCCTCATTGCATCGCCGCCCATTCCCTTCCTGTGCACCCTCTCGCCGTATCCAGGAGGTAGAGGCAGCGGAGGCAGCGCTAGGCACAGCAGTGGATGCGTGGGTGGTGTGTCCTTTCTTCCTGGAGGGGGGCCGCTACACCATCAATGACGTGCACTATGTGGCCGATGGGAGCGACAGGTGAGAGAGGCAGGTGTGCGAGCGAGGGGTGCTGGCGGGGACAAGGGCTGTTAGGCTGTTAGGCTGTTAGGCTCATAGGCTCATAGGCTGTTAGGCTGTTAGGCTGTTACGCAGTTAGGCTGTTGTGCTGTTAGGTTGTTACAATGTTAGGCTGTTAGACTGTCAGGCTGTTGCGCTGTTAGGCTGTTACGCTGTTAGGTTGTTAGGCTGTTAGGCTGTTAGGCTGTTACGCTGTTAGGCTGTTACGTTGTTAGGCTGTTAGGCTGTTACGCCGTCACGCTGTTAGGATGTTACGCTGTTACGCTGTTAGGCTATTACGCTGTTAGTCTGTTAGGTTGTTAGGCTGTTAGGCTGTTACGCTGTTACGCTGTTAGGCCGTTAGGCTGTTACACGGTTATGCTGTTAGGCTGTTATACTGTTACGCTGTTAGGCTGTTAGGCTATTAGGCTGTTAGGCTGTTACGCTATTACGCTGTTACGCTATTACGCTGTTTGGCTGTTACGTTGTTAGGCTGATAGGCTGTTAGGCTGTTACGCTGTTAGGCTGTTAGGCTGTTAGGCTGTTAGGCTGTTAGGCTGTTACGCAGTTAGGCTGTTAGGCTGTTACGCTGTCAGGCTATACCCTGTTACGCTGTTAGCCTGTTAGGCTGTTATGCTGTTACGCTGTTACGCTGTTAGGCTGTTAGGCTGTTACGTTGTTACGCTGTTACGCTGTTAGGCTGTTACGCTGTTAGGCTGTTAGGCTGTTAGGCTGTACGCCGTTACGCTGTTACGATGTTACGCTGTTAGGCTGTTAGGCTGTTACCCTGTTATGCTCTTGGGCTGTTAGGCTATTAGGCTATAAGGCTATCAGGCTGTCAGGCTGTCAGGTTGTTACGCTGTTACGCTATTACGCTGTTACGCTGTTAGGCTGTTAGGTTGTTAGGCTGTTAGGCTGTTACGCTGTTACGCTGTTAGGCCGTTAGGCTGTTACACGGTTATGCTGTTAGGCTGTTATACTGTTACGCTGTTAGGCTGTTAGGCTATTAGGCTGTTAGGCTGTTACGCTATTACGCTGTTACGCTATTACGCTGTTTGGCTGTTACGTTGTTAGGCTGATAGGCTGTTAGGCTGTTACGCTGTTAGGCTGTTAGGCTGTTAGGCTGTTAGGCTGTTAGGCTGTTAGGCTGTTACGTTGTTAGGCTGTTAGGCTGTACGCCGTTACGCTGTTACGATGTTACGCTGTTAGGCTGTTAGGCTGTTACCCTGTTATGCTCTTGGGCTGTTAGGCTATTAGGCTATAAGGCTGTCAGGCTGTCAGGCTGTCAGGTTGTTACGCTGTTACGCTATTACGCTGTTACGCTGTTAGGCTGTTAGGTTGTTACGCTGTTACGCTGTTACGCTGTGAGGCTGTGAGGCTGTTAGGTTGTTAGGCTGTTCCGCTGTTACGCTGGTAGGCTGTTAGGCTGTTAGGCTGTTACGCTGTTAGGCTATTAGGCTGTTACGCTGTTAGGCTGCTAGGCTGTTACGCTGTTACGCTGTTAGGATGTTAGCCTGTTAGGCTGTTAGGCTGTTAGGCTGTTACGCTGTTACGCTGTTAGGCTGTTACGCGGTTAGGATGTTAGGCTGTTAGGCTGTTAGGCTGTTACGTTGTTCACTGTTACGCTGCTAGGCTATTACGATGTTAGGCTGTTAGGCTGTTAGGCTGTTACGTTGTTACGCTGTTACGCTGTTAGGCTGTTACCCTGTTAGGCTGTTGGGCTGTTACGCTGTTAGGCTGTTACGCTGTTAGGCTGTTACGCTGTTAGGCTGTTACGCTGTTAGGCTGTTAGGCTGTTAGGCTGTTACGCTATTACGCTGTTAGGTTGTTAGGCTGTTAGGCTGTTACGTTGTTACGCTGTTAGGCCGTTAGGCTGTTACGCGGTTAGGCTATTAGGCTGTTAGGCTGTCAGGCTGTTACGCTGTTAGGCTGTTACGCTGTTAGGCTGTTAGGCTGTTACGCTGTTAGGCTGTTAGGCTGTTACGCTGTTACGCTGTCACGCTGTTACACTGTTACGTTGTTATGCTGTTACGCTGTTATGCGGTTACGCTGTTACGCTGTTACGTTGTTACGTTGTTACGATGTTAGGCTGTTAGGCTGTTAGGCTGTTACGCTGTTAGGCTGTTAGGCTGTTAGGCTGTTACGCTGTTATGCCTTTAGGCTGTTAGGCTGTTAGGCTGTAACGCTGTTAGGCTGTTAGGCTGTTAGGCTGTACGCTGTTACGCAATTACGCTGTTAGGCTGTTACGCTGTTAGGCTGTTACACTGTTACGCTGTTACGCTGTGTCGCTGTTAGGCTGTTACGCTGTTAGGCTGTTAGGCTGTTAGGCTGTTAGGCTGTTAGGCTGTTAGGCTGTTACGCTGTTACGCTGTTAGGATGTTAGGCTGTTAGGCTGTTAGGCTGTTAGGCTGTTACGCTGTTACGCTGTTACGCTGTTAGGCTGTTAGGCTGTTAGGCTGTTAGGCTGTTAGGCTGTTAGGCTGTTATGCTGTTACGCTGTTTCGCTGTTACGCTGTTATGCTGTTACGCTGTTAGGCTGTTGCGCTGTTAGGCTGTTACGCTGTTACGCTGTTAGGCTGTTAGGCTGTTAGGCGGCTGCTCCACATCCCTCCTCCGCTCCACACCCCACCACCCCAGGCTGGTGCCGGCAGCACAGACAGAGTTTGCCAAGGATGCTGCCTTTGGCTACTCCCGCTCCAACCTCAAACAGGTGCGAGGCTGTGCTGTGTGGTGCTGTGCGATACTGTGCTGTGCAATACTGTGCTGTGCTGTGTGGCTGGGAGGGATGTACACATGTGCATGTCGGTTTCTGGATTCCAAGCGGACAAATGCGTCTGTGCATTTACATGCATCATCAATCTCCTCTCCTGCATGCCTCTCCATGATGTGCTCCGCTCAGTGGGTCGAGGAGAAGACAGGTGGCGCCAGGTCAGCAGCTGATGTGGCATCCATCTCCATCGAGACCATTAGAGGGGGCGGCCCTTCCGCCGTCCTTAAAGCCCTCATGGCGCTACCTAAGGTACTCCGTGCTGCTCCCTGCTGCTTCCTCCCATGTCCTCACATGCTCCCCCCATGATGCCTTGTGAATGATGATCTGTAAGGGTCCCATGCTCTCCCACGGGCCCTCATGATACCCGCTGCTGATCTCTTCCGCTCTTTGCTGCTTCGAAATGTGGCGTCTATCCTTACTGCTCTCTACACTCTCGCCCCTGCAATAGTTTCTTCACGAAATGATACCCGCGACTGTAAAATGTTAAATTCGCTCCCTTACCCCCACAGGGCAGTGTGTGCATCTTGAATGCAGCGAGTGACAGTGACCCACACGTGTGACCCACACGTGGCAACAGCAGCCCTAACATACTCAGAGGCTGCTGGGCGCTCCTTCCTTGTGCGCTCTGCTTGTCTCCTCCCTTTATTGCTCACCTTGAATTCCGCCCTCCCCCCGCCCTTTCTCCCTTGCTCCTGCAGGGCAGTGTGTGCATCTTGAATGCAGCGAGTGACAGTGACTTGCACGTGGCTACAGCAGCTCTCCGCCATGCAGAGGCAGCAGGGCGCTCCTTCCTCGTGCGCTCTGCCGCTTCCTTCGTCTCCTCCCTCCTCTCCCTCCCCAAACTGCCCCCGCTTGGTCCCCCTGAGTGGGCGCAGCTGCTGCTGGGCGGAGGGGCGGATGGGGATTGTGGGGGGGAGGGGGAGTGGGGGCGGAAGTTGAAGCGGTGGGGATGGTTGCGGAGCGGTGTGGGGGGGTTGATTGTGGTGGGGTCGTATGTGCCGAAGACGAGTGCTCAGGTGAGTGGGAGAGGGTGGGGTTGAGGAGAGGCAAGAGAGTGAGTATGAGGGGAGGAATGAAAGCAGGCGAGCAGGGTAGGAGGAAAGGGAGGAAAAGATGGGGGCAAGAGTAAGGGATGTATAAGATCTTATCAGGGTGGTGATGGAGGAACCGAGTGCTGCACCGCATTGGCCTTTCACCGCGCTTTCCCTTCCATACCCCTGTTCCCCTCTTGCTGCAAAGCACACAAGGCATTCTTGCCTTCCCTACTCAACCATCCTTTCCTGCCTCCCTGCCGTTGCTGCCCCGTCCCTCCCACTCTCATGGCATCAGCTAGAGGAGCTGCTCTCCCGCCTCGGCTCGTCGCTTCATGTGATACAGGCAAGTTCATGTGCATGCATGGCCGTGTGATTGTGTGGTAGATTGCAGAAGCGGGATTGGTACATGCCATTTCAGTCAACGCTAATCCATGTCACATATATTGACGGTGTTCTCACACCCATTGTGAGGCCATACTGATCGAAAGCACCTCCATTTGTCCATTTCTGCCCTTTCTTCCCCCCTTCACGTCTCTCCGCGTCATCGGGCAGATCAGTGCTGCTGACGTGGCGTCTGACAGCTGGCAGGGGGAGAGGAGGGAAGCGGCGGTGGCAGGGATGGCAGGGGAGGCGGAGAGAGCTCTACGGGAAGGCAGTGACGTTGTCATCATGACGTCACGCGAGCTCATCACTGGCTCAGGTGGGTACTATCTCGGAGGGGGGTTGTGTCTGATCATTGTCCCCGTGAATGTCCGCATGACTGTTCCCAGCAGTCTTAAGATTGATTCAAGAGTGATTGCGGCAGTGGCGGATTCATCATATCATATCATATCATATCATAGCATAGCATAATGCTTGCGTTCTTTGCCCCTGGGTGCATGATGTCCCTCTTGCAATCTTTCCCCTTCCATCCGCCCCCCATCGTCCCCATGGCCCCCACCCCAGACGCGGCCAGCAGTCTGGAGATCGGGTCGAGAGTGAGCGAAGCTGTGGTTGACGTTGTAAAGGCGATCAGCGTGCGCCCCAAGTACATTCTTGCTAAGGTGCCATGGGATGCAGTGGGATGGGGCGAGGTGGGCTGGGGCGACACGGAGAGGTTGAGATAAGTGGGCATTGGGATGTTGGGGTGTGGAATCATGTCAAGAGTACGTCTGCAGCATGGCATGGCATGGCATGGCATGGATGCATTTGCTACACCTCTCGGATTCACTCAAGGATCACCTTCCTGCTCATCATGCACATCAGGGTGGCATCACATCGTCATACGTGGCAACCAAGGCTCTGGGAGTGCGGAGGGCGAGGGTGACTTGTGAGTCTACTCAAGAGTCAATTACTAGATGCCTCAGAGTGGCTTCTAAGCTCGGAGCTCCCTGCCTCCTCCCTCCCATGAGCATCAGGGCGGCATCACATCATCGGACGTGGCGACCAAGGCGCTGGGCGTGAGGAGGGCGAGGGTGGAGGGGCAGGCCATGGCAGGCGTGCCGCTGTGGCGCCTTGATGGTGCCTCCACCTTCCATGACCTGCCCTACATCGTCTTCCCAGGTAACCTCTGGTTTTTTTTATTCTTCTTCTTCGTTTTCTCAGTCTGTGCTTTCTGTGATCATTCTTGCTGTGATCCACTTCTCTCTCATCCACTCCACCAACCACCAGGCAACGTGGGGTCATCCTCCTCTCTCACTGACGTGGAGCAGCGCTGGCGCTCCCAGCCCATGACCCCGCCCCTACTGACAACACTAGACCTAGTGCACGTAGGCGATTGTTGAGTCGGCTAATAGATTCTCTCATCCACTCCCCCATTCACCAGGCAACGTGGGGTCATCCTCCTCTCTTGCCGACGTGGTACAGCGCTGGCGCCAGCCCATCACCCCGCCGCTGCTGACCATGCTAGACCTAGTGCGCGCAGCAGCAGAGGGCGGGTATGCAGTGGGGGCATTCAACGTGTATAACCTGGAAGGGGTGCGGGCCGTGGTGAAGGGAGCAGAAGAAGAGAGGAGTCCGGCCATTATCCAGGTAGGTACACTATATGCGACCTTGCGGTGGGAGGGGGTGAGTGCGGTGATGCGGGGAGCCTCGGAGAGGAGCCACTCAGGCAGCGAGCAGGGCGGCTGAAAGAGTGAGAAATCTTTTGTGACCTCTGTCCCTTCTCGCTCCCTTCATCTCTGAACCTCCCCTCTCTGTCTCCCTCTCCCCTTCCCCCTCTCCAGCTGCATCCCTCGGCCATCTGTCACGGGGGAGAGCCTCTCATGGCAGCGTGCAAATCAGCGGCCATGGCTGCACGCGTGCCCATCGCCCTGCACCTCGACCATGCCACGGACGTGGGCCTTATTCAGCGATGTGTGGAGCAGGTGCGTGTGCCCATGGTGCTGTGTGTGTGGAGGTGCGTGCCTCAGGTCAACACGCCTGGTGATCTGCGCCCGATACCCCCTCCCTCACCGCACATGATCGGTGAGTGCAGGGGTGGTGCCGGTCCATCATGGCAGGTGGTTCACACCTTCCTCTACCGCATTCCCACCCACCATTACCATGACCCATACACTATCCCCTCCCATCACCCAATCCATACTTCTGGTGAGTGCAGGGGTGGTGCCGGTCCATCATGGCAGACGGCTCTCACCTGCCCCTGGCTGACAACATCGCCTTCACTCAACGCGTTGTGGCTGCCCTCGCTGCCCTCACCACTCCAGCAGCCGTAGATGCACCGGGGCCGCCGAGAGCAGTGGGCGGTGGGGGAGGGGCGGTGGTGGTGGAGGCGGAGGTGGGGCGGATAGCGGGGGTGGAAGATGGGGAGACTGTGGAGGATATTGCAGGTCGGCTCACCCAAGTGGAGCAGGTGATGTGCGGTGGGAGCAGGTGAGATACGGTGAGGCAGTGGTGGAGGCAGAGGTGGGGCGGATAGCGGGGGTGGAGGATGGGGAGACTGTGGAGGAGATTGCTGGCAGGCTCACACAGGTTGAGCAGGTGAGGTGCGGTGGGAGCAGGTGAGGGGGGGTGGGAGCAGGTGGGTGGGGGTGGGAACGAGACAATGGAGAGGAGGGATGTGAGGAAGCTAGTGCCAGTTCGTATCCTCTTCTCACCCGTCCTCCTTCCATCCCCAGCCCCATTCTCCCTCTTCCCATCCCCAGCCCCATTCTCCCTCTTTTCATACCCAGCCCCATTCTCCCTCTTTCCTTTCACACTCAACCCAAATCTTCCCGTTGCTCCCTCCTTTGCCCATGCAGGCCGAGACCTCCCTTGAACGCGTCCCCCAGGTTTCTCTCCTCGCAGTGTGTGTGGGCAACCGCCACGGCCCCTACCCACCCTCCCTCCTCTCCACCCCCGCCTCCATCCTCAACCTCTTTCTCCTCCGCTCCCTCGCCGCCACCGCCGCCCACCACCACGCCCACCTGTTGCTGTCTATTTTTGAGGCGCCTAAACAATAACCACCACCACCACCACACCCACCTGGTGCTGCATGGCGCCTCGGGGATTGCCGCCAGAGATTTGCCATGCCTCATCTCTTCCCATTCCTCTGCCCGCCCACCTTCCCATGCAGGCTGAGACTTTCCTTCAAAGCGTTCCCCAGGTGTCTCTCCTCGCAGTGTGTGTGGGCAACCGGCACGGCCCATACCCAGCCTCCGTGCTCTCTTCCCCCGCCTCCATCCTCAACCTCCCTCTCCTCCGCTCCCTCGCCGCCACCACCACGCCCACCTGGTGCTGCACGGCGCCTCGGGATTGCCGCCAGAGATTGTCGTGTCTCATCTCTTCCCATTCCTCCTTCCGCCCACCTTCCCATGCAGGCCGAGACTTTCCTTCAAAGTGTTCCCCAGGTGTCTCTCCTCGCGGTGTGTGTGGGCAACCGGCACGGCCCCTACCCACCCTCCCTCCTCTCCACCCCCGCCTCTATCCTCAACCTCCCCCTCCTCTGTTCCCTCGCCGCCACCGCCGCCCACCACCACGCCCACCTGGTGCTGCATGGGGCCTCGGGATTGCCGCCAGAGATTGTACAGGAGTGCGTACAGTGCGGCGTGCGCAAGTTCAATGTTAATACCGAGTTGAGGGCTGCTTATATGGAGGCACTGGGAGGGGGAGGGAGGGATTTGGTGGATGTGATGGGAGAGGCGGAAAGGAGGATGATAGATGTGGTGCGAGGGAAGCTGAAGCTGTTTGGGTCGGCTGGTCGCATGTGAGGTTGTGTGTGTGGAAGAAGGGAGAGGCGTGTATTGGGAGGAGGGAGGGATTGAGTGGATGTGTTGGGAGAGGCTGAGAGGATGATGAGTGTGGTGAGTTGGAAGGTGAGGCAATTCGGGTCGGCTGGTTGCATGCGAGCTTCCTTGTGTGGGAGAAGGGAGTGTGGGAGAGGGGAGCGTGGGAGAAGGGAATTTGAAAGGAGGTTGTGGGAAGGGAGGAGGGATTAGATTGACATTGGAATAGATGGATTAAAGAGGGGTGGAAGCAGATGGGTTGTGGAGTTTATTGGTTGTTTTACACAGTTCATGCTGTGTTGAATTGCATCAGTCAGTTTGAAAAGCGGTAACTTCAAACTTTGGAAACTACCTGTCCCATGCATCGTGACGACGAGCATCGCGATCACGAGCGTTGTGAGCAATAATGTGATTCTCTACATAACGTACCGTCATCGCCCGGATATAAGACAGTGTTGAATAGTAGACAGGGGTTGTCTATTATACGGGTGTCTCTTATAAACAGGCACCAGTTCGTCCCACCAATTTCCTGCGCAACCTGGGAGAATGGAGGGTCTATTCTTACCGGTATCGCTTGTAAGACATCATGCCATCAGCCCTTAGTCTCCAATATGTCTCTTCCTAACTTTGAATTACGGTACATTAAAGGAGGAGTCCCTTCGGGTCTTCCTAACTTGGAATTACGGTACATAAAAGGAGTCCCTTCGGGTCTTCCTAACTTGGAATTACGGTACATAAAAGGAGTCCCTTCGGGTCTTCCTAACTTTGAATTACTGTACATAAAAGGAGGAGTCGGGTCTTCCTAGCTTTGAATTACATAAAAAAAGGAGTCCCTTCGGGTCTTCCTAACTTTGAATTACATAAAAAAAGGAGTCCCTTCGGGCCTTCCTTACTTTGAATTACCATAAATAAAGGAGTCCCTTCGGGTCTTCCTAACATCCACTTCGTGACTGACCTAATGTTTGACACGGGCTACAAATGCACCCTCATGCAGGACCAAAATTGTCCATTATTTCCACTCACCAAGTGTACAACAACACTATCACAACAGTTTCAACAACCAGTATCATACAAACCAAGAACTGAGGCCAGGCCAGGCTACCCTAGTAACGTATGTGGGAGTGCTTCAGGATGGGTCCCACCCACTGCCCATCGCCACCATCCCAGTGCTCTTGCAGCCAATCCCATTGCCAAGTGTCACTTCAACGACGCCTGCAGCGCGCGGTCAATTATGTGTGTGGTCTCGTCGCCATACCGGTACTAGAAGCCCCCTCGGAAGAAGTATCACTTTTCGGTATCCTCCCATCCCCACGGCAACACCTTCTGGTGCAAAGCCTCACTTCAACGAAGCCTGCAGCGCCCGATCAATGATATGCGTCGTCTGCATGTTAATCACCAATTGGAACGCGGGCGGCTCCGGGTGATTGTAGTTCGCCAGATAGAAATTCTCGTCTACTCTCCTCGGCCCAACCGCCCATCTCGGGCAGGCTTTAAAGTTCGGTAGATTCTTGAGCAGCGACGAGCGCTTGTACACTCCAAAGTCATTCTGCGCGTAATCGAAGAACGCTGCAGAGGGGATATCTGTGAGATTCACCATCTGGTGCTTGTTGAATGTCCCCTCCTCCACCGTCGGCAGCACCTCGCAATACTTATACCCCATATCACGCGTCCCGTTAGCGACTATAAGCCGAACAAAATTATCCGTTGGAAGGCCGCTGCAATACCCAGTCTCCCTCCCTGAAAGCGTGCCTTTGCGGCCAATATTGCACAGCTTGCCTCGAATGGACCGGTCCTGGCACACGCTATCCCACCAGGGCCATTGCGAGCGAAACAGTGGCGTGTCGTAGTATTTCTTCCGCATGGCTTCCCAGTAGGTGCCTGGGCGTTTGGCGCAGTTGTTGACGGTGGGTGTGAAACAGGTGCACCAGCCGGGCATGCCTGCCACGTCCTTGATGATTATGTTGTCTATGGAGTTCCTGGGAGGAAGCAGGAGGAGAGAGGGGTGTAGTGTGGTTGATGTGACGGTGGGCATGAAGCATGTGCACCAACCCAGCATGCCCCACTACATTGCCAATGCTGCTACTGTCAAAGCCCCCCCCATTTGCCTGCTGTACAAATAGCCTCCACAACATGCTTCATCTCCCCTTCCGCCCTTCCCACCCACCCAGACTCACCACTTGCCGTTGTTGACCTTGATACCGTCATACGTGCCCACACACGCCCCGCCATTCACCGTCACGCCCGAGGTGACGTAGTCCAGGTAGTAGCAGTGGTCCCCGTTGAACACGTAGTTGCACTCCGCCAGGTTCGCTGCATCGGGACAGGCAGTGGGGGAGGGTAACATGCAAGGAGAGCAGGTCAACAGGACGCTTGGTCTCCGTTGAACACGTAGTTGTACTCCGCCAGGTTCGCTGCATCGGGACAGGCAGTGGCAGGAGGGTAACATGCAAGGAAAGCAGGTCAGCAAGCCTAGCAGGACATAGTCCAGGTAGTAGCAGTGTTCGCCGTTGAACACGTAGTTGCACTCCGCCAGATTCGCTGCAAGGTTGAAGGGGGTTGAGTCAACAGCAGCAGGAGGACCACAAAGCCTGGTGTGACATAGTCCAGGCCAGGTAGTAGCATTGGTCGCCGCCCCGTCGTACACGCAGTTGCACTCCGCCAGCTTCGCTGCAAGGAGGTTCAGAAAGGGGAATGAGAGAGATCACGGCGGTTGAGAGGGGATGTGATGGTTGCGATGGGGTTGAGTCAGGAGCAGCAGAATCACAAAGCCTGATGTGACATAGGCCCAGGACCCACCAGGGCTGAACCAGTGCTTACCCCTCTCACCTCTCTCCCACCCCACCAAATCCCAACTGGTTACCACCTCCCTCCCCAATCCCACACCCCTGACAGCACCCACCAGGGCTGAACCAGTGCGTGCAGAAGTAGATGCCCGCAGCATCTTGATCCCCCGATCTGTTAGTCCCAGCAGCCACCACGATGTTGTACGAGATGGTGGCGAGCACGCAGTCCGCGGCGTAGTGCACGTCCGCGCCGCAGCGGATGCCCGCGAATATGAAGTCGTGCACGTAGTTGTTTCGCACTATCACGCCGATGGCGCCCTGGTACAGCACGATTGGGGTGTCGACACCTGCAAGGGAAGGGGGTGTGGGGTGGGGGGGAGGAGGGCAGGAATGCGGGAGCGATATGAAGTCGTGCATGTAGCTGTTGCGCACTATCACGCCTGGCGCCCTGGTACAGCACTATGGGCGTGTCGACACCTGGTAAAGGGGATGCGAGAGAGTGGGCGAGCAGAGAGAGGGGGGGGGGGAGTCGAGGAAGGAGCAGTTATGAAGTCGTGCTCTTGCAGGGTGTTTTTGAGTGCTCGTGGTTGTTGCGCATTATAACTAACAAACTATGGCGCCCTGGTAGAGGACACTCGGGGTGTCTACGCCTTTTGAGGCGCCTCAGAACTCATGTACAACTATGTCTACGCCTAGTACAGGTGTACATGGGTAGAGGGGGTGCGAGAGAGAGTGGGCGGGAAGAGAGGCGAATGTGAAGTCGTGCACGTAACTGATTCGCACTATCACGCCTATGGCGCCTTGATACAGCACGATTGGGCGTCGTGTTTGTGGGAATTCAGAAGGAAAAAGGCTGCAAAGACAGCGACATGCGACTCACCGTAGACCTCGTTATTGGTGATCGCGATATACGACTTCTCCAGCGTGGGCCCATGGCCGCTCATGGCGACGCGAATCACGCCCGGAGACTTGTTGAACACGGGAACTCCCGTGACGCGCATGGAGTCGACGCGTGATGACATGCTTCGAAACAAGTCAATGCGCCCGAACACTGTTCCTTTAGCAATCTGAATCCCGTAACTCCTGTAGACGTGTATTGTAGGGCAATTTACCCCGACGCCGTTCTCGGGAACACCGACGCACTGGGGAGACGAGGTGCGAACTCCGAGGGAAAAGCTCACTCCCAGTACAAGCACGTTGCTGGTGTTCCATATCCGCAATACAGGCTGATCCGCTCCGAAATAAGAGATCTTAAAACCGGATCCGGTTAT